CTATCAGAAAGGGACATACTACACTAGTGATCCTGTTGCTGGTGGCAAATCGACAGTGATGATCACGTGCATGCTCCTACAGCATCGCTGCCTCACTAGTCAAATCAGCGAGGTGACACATCATTGCTTCTCCCTTGCTGAGGAAGGAGCTTTTGCAGCATTTCAGCCAGTGAGGGATCAAAAGGAGCAGCGGAGTGGTCTCTTTATGACCAGCACTGACGCCAGGTACGGGATTGCGAGTGTGACATGACCCCAACATGACACCTGGATTGGTTGCCCTGGCCAAAAATACTCCTTTCCATAGTTTTGCAGCATTCCCACTCTTCTGCCTACACAAAAATGTTTTCCTTTATACAAATAAACAAGCCGAAGACATGGTACAAATGAGTTTTTGACAGTTTTATAGTCAAAATGACATTTTACACAGACAACAGGAACACGCCTATATTTTGTGCAAAAAAAATTGTTAAAATAAAACCTCTTATTTGTTTTTTTTTCATTCTGATATACATATTAAACAAGGATTATGGCACCATAACCAGAGTCAAATGAAAACAAAAAATATATATGATAATTGCTTCTGTGTACACTGTATACGTCTATCTTAGTGCTGGCATGTTTCACCACATAAGTGCTCTTGAAGCCTACATCAACCAGCCATTCTTTACACTTCCCAACTGGGCTGCTCTGGGACACTTCCAGCATTTAAAGATGACGAGGAGGCAGAGCTTAGGAAATTGGATGCCAATTTCTGGTAGAAACAGGCATATCTGGGTTCAGCAGGGTGGGGTTAAGGCTTAGGACGAGAATTAGAAGATCAGCGAAACAGTAAGGTGGGGGTCACTTCTGGTTTTTTTTATATCTCTTGGGCAATTCTCTGCAGTTGGGCCCCTAGCTCCACCCAAGCCCCAGGAAATAAAAGTCTTGCTCTCCCTGTTGCATTTTTTATTGTTTTTTTACAGTATATCCAGTAGGGTCAGTGAGGATCTGTAGTTGAAGGGGCATAGCCAAAAAATCTGTGCAGATGCTACTTCTGAAGATGATGCAAACCAGGGTGACCCACCACCGCCATCTCTATGCCTAAAATACTTTGGGGTAGAATGACCTTTTATAGTGTTTATCTGGCCACACAGGTGGCACTCTCATTGTACAATCTCCTTTAGATTTACCTTCAGATAAGCAGTGCATAATATATCACACTATATAGTTTTAGTAAAGAAAGTTTGCAGCATAAGTGAAACCCTTCATTAGCTAACCTAAAATGAACCTGTGCTTTGCCCATACAATATGTTTGGGTATGGGGAAGCATACCACTTGGTGTTTGGCCCAGTACTGTCAAATAGGGGCAAGGAAAGAGTCTTTAGCTTTAGGTAAATTTTATGTTGTGACCTGTGGCTTACACAAGGCTTCAGCTCTTTGCTCCCAAAGGCAATTCAGAGTAGTGGGAGACCAAAGGGAAGTTGATTATGTACAGCTAGCGAGGGCAAAACACATATTCACTTTACATTTTTAAAGTGCATGGCTGGTGATATTTTATGTTGCTACGATGGTACATTTGAAGGAAATTGTACTTTTGTGGCTGAAAAAAATAAAACAAAACAAACTTTTAAACACAACACATGTGCCGATACACTTTATTTAAGGTATACACACTATAGGGCCAAAAGTTTGTGAACACCTAACCATCACACCTATACAAGCTTGTTAGACATCCCATTCTGAAACCATGGGCATTATTATGGAGTTGGCATCCCCTCTGCAACTATAGGTCTCCACCCTGCTGGGAATACTTTCCAAAATATTTTGGAGTGCATCTGTGGGAATTTGTGCCCCTTCAGCTAAAAGAGCATTTGTGAGGTCAGGTACTAATGTTAAATGAAAAGACTTGACTCGTAATTGGCGTTCCAGTAGGGTTAAGTAGGGTTCCAGGTGTTCAGTAGGGTTAAGGTCAGGGCTTTGAGAAGGCCACTCGGGTACCTCCACAATAAACTCATCAAACCATGTCTTTATGGAGCTGGGTTTGTGCATAGGGTCACAGACATGCTGGAACAGAACAGGGCATTCCTCAGAGTGTTGCCACAAGGGTGGAAGCCTAAAATGCCTTTGTATGCTCTTGCAGTACCCTTCATTGGAAGCACTTGAACTTAATAATACGGAGGGGTGTTCACATTTTTAGCCATATAGTAGGTATGATCGCCAGGTGTCCTCAAACTTTCCACCATTTAATGAATACATGGATGTTGGTTGTAAATACTCATCCAGTACCTGTGTTACTTCTGTTGGTATTCTAACACCAACCCCAGTAAGGTGCTTCCTGGTTTGAGCAATTCCGTGTAGGATGTAGCATCAAGGCACGGTGACTTCCTTGTTACGCCAAACAGTAGAATGCCAGGCCAATGCTTTTGGTGTGCATTCAACTGTATCAAGTCACCCGGTTGAAAACAGATCTCCTGGTCTGAAGCCAAGGAGTGCTCAAAGTATGCCAGGAACACACAGAGAAAGCTCCCTTTCCATGCTCTTGTGTACACAGCCTCAGATATGTGCTTAAAGTGAACCTGTCTTCAGTGCGATATGAGGGACACGTCAGATTATTTCATCTTTGCAGTTGCCTGGCTCTCTCTGACTTCATTCTGAGTCCCTGACCATGAAGAAGTATGCAGATTAGTCAGATGTTCTTTTCTGTATACTTGCTTCAGGCAAGTGACCCAAGGTATTGAAGATAAGAGAGTGTCCTTGACAGGTAGGCAACTAAAGTTCTCAGAAGCAGAAATCAGCCATGGTAGCCTCCAAGCTTCTCTCATGATGGCTTCACCTTTACCAATATAATTAAGTGCTTTAAGTTTTCTTTTTCATTTTGTTTTATAGGCAAGTTTAAAGAGAACCAGTCACATTTGGGCCAGGAAAAACCCCCAGAATATTCAGCCTGAAATTATTATACCCATGCAAAGATTAATATCCTCCCCTCAGATTTGCTTACTCTGACTCTTCAACTTGAGAGTGGTGGCTCAGAGGTCACCTGAGGGCTGACAGCTGATACCCTTTCAGCTGCCTGACTTCACACACTGTCTCCCAGCTCCTGAGCGTGCACAACTATATCAAATGACAGACTCTTGTGTTTATTCCTGTTCACTGCATGGCTCAGTTATTTAGCAATGTTATGTATTCTCAGCCCCGCTTCTCAAACTAAAACACTATACAGAGCATTTGTATGAAGCACCACTCTATGTTTATGAAAATCGAAAGTTGAAAAATGGTTTATTGGTCATAAACCTTGTAAAAGAAAAGTAATTGTATTTCGGGTGTTCTTCATCAAGGCTTAAAAAAAATTCTGAACTGAGCAAGTGTCAGCTTTAGAAAAATGAATGAAGGGGGCAAATACAATTAAAGGATTTACAGTTATAACTATTTAAATCTGAATATTTAGTGACTTGCATGAGCCCAATTATGACTAATTCTATTTGACATAAAAAAATTAATTCCCTGCATGCATGAATTCTCCTCTGAGGGTTATGTGACCTGTGTTTAAGTAGACTGTGCACAGTTGGCAGTTACAATGAGGATAGGGTCATTCCGGCAGCCATTTTGTTCTGTACACATAGAGACTCCTTGTGTTCACAGATTAGCCATGGCAACCAGCAAAATGTAAAAAAAAGCAGGCAGGGCCAGAAGGACAAGGTGAAGAAATATAAAAAAGGGGATAACAAAATGAATTAGATATAACTGAGAAAATGAAAAAAACACACATCAAACATTATAGAGGCAAACCCGCACTTTAAATGTGTCCCAGTTTAGGATTCAGCACATTGGGAGGTACACTGTAAACCAAATGTTTGGGGACACCTGACCATCATGTCTAATTGAGTTTGTTGGACATCCCATGGACATTAATTTGGAGTTGGGCCCCCTTTCCAGTAAACAGCCTCCACTCATCTGGGAAGGCTTTCCACAAGATTTTAGAAATACGTCTGGTGGAATCTGTGACCATTCAGTCAAAAAAGCTCTATGGGACTGATGTTGGACAAAAAGAAATGGCTCACCATAGGCTTTCCAGTTCATCCCAAATGTGTTCAAGAGGGTTGAGATCATGGCTCTGTGCAGGTTACTCAAGTCCCTCCACACCACATGCCAAAAAAACACGTCTTTGAAGCTGTCATTGCGTACAGGAGCACAGTCATGCTGGGGCAGAAAAAAGGTCTTTCCCAAAATGTTGTCACAAGGTTGGAAGCACACAAGTAACAGTACCCTGTACTGAAGGCAAAGATTTGGAGGGATGTCCGAATACTTTTGGCCATATTGTAGGTGTGATGGTCATGTGTCCACAAACCTTTGACTGTATAGTGTACGATTATCAGCTGGTTGCAGGTAACACCACAGAGGCAAGAGGAATATTATACCTTGTGCCTTGGAGATGCCGCCAGCAGATCAATACGTTGCTATTGGTTCATCCCACAAAAATGGCTACCTACCCTGCACGTAGGCAAACTCAAAAACATTCAATCAGCTCTTACAATTCTCACACTCAAAACAAAATTATTGCACAAGAAGCCACTGAGGGCAAGAAATGGTCAAGTTCTGTGTCAATGAAACCCTATTAGCCCAAATATAAAAATAGAACATAACACACCCAGAGTTAACAGTTTCTCATTTTTTGCCATTTAAATATATTCTATTAATGGCAGATTCTTCATTTTTTTTCTTTTTAATCTCCTTGGAGCTACGGTCTGCATATTTTAATTGCTATATTGCTTGAACAGCACTCCTTTCTTCAGTCTATGAACCCGCACAGACCCCCGATCACCATGGATTTTTTTTTTTTTCTCAAAAACGTTTAGCCTTGGTTTTATTTATAATTTTTTTGGTCAAGGTGACAAAGGGGCATCCAAAAACAAACAAAAAATTCAAGCTTCTCCGACTCGAGATCTAAACCTCCATCCTGAAAATTACTGTTATCCGGATGAGCTGATTTTTTTTTTTCTTTTAATCTTGAAGCTTTATTAATAAAAAATGTTTTTGTTACACCACAGTCTCTACACCGATTAACTTTGGCGTAAGAATCCGTGGTGTGATACCATTATTTAAGTCTTCTTCAAACTCCAATAACTGGCCCATGAAGTTTAGGTTGGGGGATATGATTGGTCGCTTTCCTTTGACAAATTTGTAGGCATCAGTCATGGTCATCCGTGTGTGCTTCATCAGGTAGGCTATCACGATGGTAGCCGAGCGTGAGACTCCTGCCTGACAGTGGATGAGCAGGCCTTTGCCACACTGGTGAGCTTCCTCTGGAAGATAAGACAAAAATAAAGTTAGATAAGTGCATAAAACAACTTGCAACAAATATAAAAGAGCCATTTTTAAAATTTTGGATAGACTTGGGAAGAGCAAATACTTGTATTGCTGTTAGCGACCCCACTTGTCCTTATGACAACAGGAGAAGAAATGAGAGGATGGGTTGTCACTGAGGAGGTGGTTCTATGGTCCTTCCCCATTTTACTGAAAAAAAGTTTCACTTCCTGTTAAGAAAATCTCCCCAGTGGGCCTTGGAAAAAAACAAAAACCTAACAAGGTTTCAACACCCACCCGTCAATTAAAAAATTAATAAGAAAGTTTTAGTCGCATTTATGCCGTAAGTCCTTATTTACTTGAAACTAATTTTATCGCAATGCACTAGAATCCATCTTTGTATTTGTATTATGAAGACATTATGGATTTCAGAAGAAAAAAATGGTCTTTCTTCTAGTTCCAAACACTCTGACATACAGTGGTCCTCTTTCTATATGTACATCACCAGACCACCATTTTCTTATATCATTTTTTATTATAAATCTTAAAACAGATTAAGATATTTTATTCATGGTTTTGGATGCTGTGTGCCCATCTAAAAAATGTCCAGTGCCATTTAATGTAGGAGAATATGTTTCCTTAATGGACACACGTCTTTTTTCACCCTAAATAACCATGTAACTATGTAATTTCAACATTGAATAATCATTTATGGTTGTTGTATAATTATAAAAAAATAAATAAAATAAACATGAATAAAAACAGAGCAAACTAATGATTTTTGCATGTTTACAAATAAGTCCTTTAGAACAGTGGTTCTCAACATGTGTAAGCTCCGGACCCAAATTTGTCCTTGATCATTAAGTCGCGACCCAAGTCACACTGCAATGGAATGGCATTGCGGTACCATGTATTCTGGTGCGGGTGATTGAACTGTGGGCAGGAGGTGTGCTTGGGGTGCCATTCAAATGAATGGCAAAGCAATGCACCTCCCACACCAGAACATGTGGTAGATGCGATTATGTAGTACAGTACAATAATCGCACGGGACTGTTCGATTAACGCAATGTACTAGTGTGAACGGGCCCTCAAAAACACTGACACACACAACCACAGACACACTCACAGACATTTTCAACCACACATACACACTCCAGCTGTGCAGTGATGGAGCGCCATCCATATGTGCAATTCTTGTACAGCTCCTTTGCATGCCTTCTAGAGGTGCCGAGAGCCAGAATGTGACATCACTCCAGTCCAGACACCTCTACAGGACATGCGACGGAGTTGTAAGCAATGCACGTATGACTGGAGCTCCCTCGTGGCTCACCCCACCTTAAGCTGACACTCGGCACTGGACAGCATATTTAAAATGGCTGCTTGGGGCAAGAACCAAACAGTGCTGTGCTAGGGGGGCTTGAGGAGCTACTCACCCAGAAAAGTGGAAGGCATGCGACAACCCTTTGAACTTGGCAGGGTCGCGACCCACCAGTTGAGAACCGAGGCTGTAGAACATATAGCTGTGTTTTCTACCAATTTACACTTTATAGTTATAGTTTTAATTCATAAAATAAATACAAAGTTACAAATATATGGCCAAAACAATGTGCACACCCCATGCAAATTATTGGGTTCAGGTGTTTTCAGAGGAAGAGTACTGTGAATGCTACAGCATACAAAAAAGGTAGTTTAGACAATTGTGGGCTTCCAGCAACAGTTTATGAAGGTCCTATTCTTTTTCAGCATGACTGTGCTCCTATGCCCAAAGCCAGCTCCATAAGGACATGGTTTGATGAGTTTGGGGTGTAAGAACTTGAGTGGCCTGCAAAGAGCCCTGACCTCAACCCTCCTGAACAGCCTTGGGATGAATTTAAATGCTGATTGTAAGCCAGGTCTTCACATCCAACATCAGTACTTGACCTCACAAAAGGTCTTTTGACCGAATGGGCACAAATTCCCACAGACACACTCCAAAATCCTGTGAAAAGCCTTGCAAAAAGAGTGGAGGGTTTTATAGCCTCAATGAAGGGGGACATGATGGGTTGCAACTCCATATTAATGTCTAGGGTTTTGGAATGGGAAGTCCAAGAAGGTCATATACAAGTGATGTGTCAGATGTCCACAAACTTTGGGCCATATAGTGTTTTTTCCAAAAGTGATAATTTCAGAAAAGTTAACATTTTTCATATGCTGATTTAGTTTGAGTCAGACGCAAAGAACCATGAAGCTTACCTATGAACTCAAACGCCTCTTCAAAGTACTGCCTGAGATTCTGTTTGTTGCTGTCTGTTGCTGGGAGACGCTTGTAGTTAAAGGTACCCTTCTCATAGTGGTATAGAGGAAGGTGAGTGGTTACGTTGACGATATACCCTATGTTCATTCTTTGCATCTTTTCCAGGTCCTGGGCATCATGCTCATTGCCCAGGAAGAGAAAGGGGAGGATGGGGGTCAGTTCTGCATTTTCTATATCCGGAGTGCTAGGGACGGACTGAGGTAGTGTGATGGTCACCGCTGAGGCCCCGCCTCCATCGGGGCAGTCTTGAAGTTGGAGGGAATTATCACACAGGTTTTCGTGGTTCTGTTTAAAACTGCTGAGTCCACCTGAAATACAAAAAGAAAATGCAGGTTCGTTTGTGGTGGTCAGGCGCTCTATTAATAAATAAATATTCCAAAATTTTTTATTAACAAATCATCTGAATTGCCATATAAATACTGGAGTTGCAGCAGCATTGTGTGAAGGTTCAAAAGGACAACTATATGATATGACTCCCAATTCCCCCTAAATCCTCTGAACCGCACAGCAAGAATATAATTTAGAAAAATATCCTTGGAGTAGATTTATCTGCTGAAAACACAACCCTAACCCATAAAAAGAATTAAAAATGGTTCCCAAAAGCAGTTCATACAGGCCCCTTCCAAAATATTCAACAATATAGAATAATCTTATAAATAAGAGCAAAATATTAGGTGGGTAGTAGTAAGAGAATGTAAGGCAGTGGGACACACTCTGGTCACAGTGATTATGTATATCTATTAATGAATATAGAAAAAACTCCCCTTAGATGTAGAAAGAGATGAACACCATATTGGGGAAAAACCCAGGTTCCTAAAGGGAGGTCCCACAAAAAATAAGCATATTTAGCACAGTTAGGATTGTGTGCAACAGATATACAGTATGTTCTGTGCATTCTTTTGTTGTACTGTTCGCCAATAAAGAAATATTTTCGGATGATATTGGTGTGCAGCTCCATGTGTTTAAAGGAAATCTGGAACCATCAGAATTGGAAAAAAAGGCAGGAAAAAAATGTTGTTATTATGGCAGACCTCTTTGTATCTGTATACCTTGATACACCAATTACATTAAAACATTGATATTATTTATCAATTGGTATAAGTATTCTTTATTGGATTCTGGTTCTTGTCTTGCTATACTTATTTAAAATTTTTGTAACGTGGGCAATTTTTGTAAAATGTTATTTCTTTAACTGACTTGTAGAATGTCACCCTATGTACAATGCCTGTTTTCTCTGCCTTACGTTCTGTCCCGATAACCACAAAGTGAAGTTTAATATATACACTACCTGATCAAAAAAATAAGTCACCACCTGGATTTTGGGCAGTGTTAAGATCTGGAGTTGCTTCAGGTGGTCAGGTCTAGGTTCAGCAATGCTATGTCCCCAAATATTGAGGTCAGCTGCCAACCTGAATATACTGAATGACCAGATTTTTCCATCTTTTTTTTTTCTCTGATGCCACAGGCATATTCCAAGATGACAATGCCAGGATTCATCGAGTTCAGATTGTGAAAGAGTGGTTCAGGGAGCATGAGTCATCATTGTCACGCATGGATTGGCCACCACAGTCCAGACCTTAACCCCATTGAGAATCTTTGGGATGTTCTGGAGAAGACTTTACATAGAGGTCCGACTCTTCTATCATCACTACAAGATCTTAGTGAAGAATGAATGCAACTCTGGACGGAAATAAATGTTTTGACTTTGCACAAGCTTATCGAAAAAATGCCACGGTGAATGCATGCCATAATCAAATCTAAAGTTGGTCCAACAAAATATTGGAGTGTGGGATTTTTTGGGGGGCAAGCAGTATATAATAAAAAATACCAGCAAATATTTTTATTCATTGGGGGTGCACTTATCCTAGTAGCTAAACCGGTTTAAACCTGTTAATTTTTTTTAGCGAAGGCGGTTTGTTACAGTTTGATGTTGAGCTTGTATCCATGGACTAGTCCTTCCTTTCTGTGGTTATACAGCTGTGAGAGTGACATATGAACTGCAGCGCACACAGGTCAACAGTAATAATGAAAGCACGTTGCTAAGAGAACAATAGAAGTGAATCACCAGCAACGCTACAAATAATAAAAGATGGACAGACATTTGGGATGTTTGCCAGGCATGGAGACCCCAAGCCATTTCTGCACACTGCTCAAAGTATGGGTGGCAGGCTGCAAGGAAGGGCACTAAACACTAAAAAAAAAAAGGTATCAGTAATTGCTTCCGGTGAGTACTCGAGAAAAAGTATCAGTACTCGTACTGGGTCTTGAAAAAAAAATGTTATCCCTAACTTTAAGGTCTACAGTAACAATAGTGTTGAAGTGCAGAGATGATGTGGTGCCTGCAAGTACCTGTGATAGTCTTCAAACTGATCCCTGTGGGGCCCCTTGGATCCAAGGCAGCGTTGACTTTTGCCCAAGTTGACATTAAGCCCCACTCCTTATATTAAACAGTCAAATGCCATAGCCTTAACTGCCCACTGAAGTGCTGACATTCAGCAGTGCGGAGATTTGCACTACAAGAGAACAGGGCTTGATCTGGACTTCTAGGGTCCAGCTGAGGTCGGCAAATTCGACTAGGTCAGCGTTCGACAGAACACCGGTATCTGCGTTTAGTATCAGGGCATTTTCACGAGTATGAATACTTGTGAAAATGCCCAGTATTAACACTGGTGTATCCCTACTTAAAAATATAATGCATTGCTGGGACTTGTAGTCCTACATAGTTGGAGCTATTCTGCATTGCTGTATAATCTTCATACAGCAATGCACAATACCACCAGCTATGCGGGACTACAAGTCCCAGCAATACATTATAATAAAAGTAAGGTATGCAGAATACCACCAGCAAACAAACCCCGCCCCCCACCCCATAATGCATTGCTGGGACTTGTGGTCCTACATAGTTGGTGCTATTCTGCATTGCTGTGTAATCATCATACAGTACCTTCCCTCTCCTGCAGGCCCATGGCCCTCTTCCTCGTCTTGGCGGCCAGGGGGCGGAGCTAAGAGATGGCCCTCTTAGCTCCGCCCCTAAGAGGCGGGACCAGCTCATTCTCCGGGATCAGTGACAGCGTCTCCAGCCCTTTCGCACAGCCGCCCGTATAGCTGCGGGTGGCTGTGCGACAGGGAAGGAGCGGCACGATCGCGGGGGGGCCCTCTACTTCCTTGCTGGGCCCCCCCAAGTGGCGGAACGCCAGGGCCCGGTCGCAATTGCGACCGCTGCGACCCTGGTAGTTCCGCCAGTGGAGAATTTTGTTAGCCGCTAAATAAATATAATTGCTAACAAAATTTTTTAGTGTGCACATGTCTATATAGCAACTGGCAAAAAAAAATGGGGACATATTATGCCCTTGATTCTTTCGAGGGCATAACACTGAAAACTTTGGGCGGACATACCCTTTAATACCATATCATTTAAGGCTGATGGGATAAAGTTGCACAAAAAAACAAGTAAATTGTATCCCCTTTTTTGTTTATAAACTATGACATCAGCTTTAGGATTCCCACCTGCCCGGACACCATGACAACCATACAACAGCAGAGTGACATCATCTGGCATGACATCAGTGCCTTGGGTGCTCACAATACAAAGATCTCCTCAGTTGACTGCTTATCGTGCACAGGCTTAGTTCTGGAGAACGGGTGATGTAATGTGAACAGGTGGCGGGGATTTTATTTACCCAACTGAAAAAAAAGAGAAGGAAATAACAATGATAGCGCTTCTTCCCCATCGTAACTCTCAACTGTATGGTTTTATGATGCCATATGGGGGGGGGAGGGGAGGCCGACTTCAATAATTCATTAACCAGTTGTTTGAAAAGTTACCGTAGCTCAGAACACACACAGTATACGCTGTATAGATAAGGTGTGTACGGTTACATTTGGGGTTCATAGACTCCTAGTCTTATTTCCTTCTGATCTTCAATGTAGGTAAACTGGCCCAAAAAAGAAGATGTGTTGACTTTATCTTCTGAATTAAAGTTTATCAAGAAATCCCTTGTTGAAGTGGACCACTCAGTTACTTTATATGCCTACATGAGTAAATTCCTACCATGTGACAATATTTAGAAGCTTCACCTGTTATTAAAATGCCATCTTTGAGCTCTACGGATAGAGAGCACAAGAGCGCCAGACCAATGGCTCTATGGACATAAAAAACGGAAGAGTGCCAGACCAATGGCTCTATGGGCAAAATAAACGGAAGAGCGCCAGACCAATGGCTCTATGGTCAAAAAAAAAAAAACCAAGAGCGCCAGACCAACATGGCTGCTATAGTCCACAAAACAAGTGTAATAAATTGTGTTGATAGAACAGAACTATGAGAAAGGAGGAATGGACCCCAACCACTACCTGCAATCTACACATTTCAGGAGAACTACCCATAGCTGCAATAACATCTAAATTCTGAGGTTTTGAGACCATTCCTTCATTCTCATAGTTTCTAAGCCCCGAGGAAGGGGTTTTCGGTTTGCCCCCGAAACGTGTTAGCTGTTTGATCATCAAATTGTTTAATTTTTTTTATGGACTCTAACATTGCTTTTGGTCCAGCACTCTTCTGTTTTTTGTTCCTGAGCTGGATAACCATAAGCTAACGAGCTACCTACAAATCAAGCTAGGATAGCAAGGATTCAAAACATTTTTACCCGGAGTTCTGCTTTAAATCCATACGGGAACGGGTCTATTGTCTGACAGAGGAGAAAAGACAAAAACGTCTGTGTCGGTTTGTGTACACAGAACGAGTTCCTCCTGATGGGGTTAGATCATGTATTTATATAGAAACAGAACACCCTGGCAAGTATACACACTATTACATTACACTGTAGACTTGACAGATGGCAGATTATCGATGGGAATGTTGAAAGCTCTACAACACACACCAACACCGTGACAATATCACAGTACATCCCCCCCTCATATTGATCTATTAACCTACCCCCCCCCCCCCATCTAGCATTTAGCCTAATATATAGGGGTTCATTGTTTAAGCCATACCTCCAGCAGCTTTATGCAGCTCTTTAATCATTAATACATTTATACATTATTATTTTTTAATGCCAAGAGTGTTAGTATCTGAATTTGGCTTGGTATGCACTTTCTGAACAGCAGAGCTCAGACTAGGAAACAGCACAAGGAGCCAATCAGTTGTGCCGTAGTGGTCATAATGCTCATGTAATATGCTGATAGGAGGTGAGAAAAGAGTGAGAGATAGATGAGCTCATCGATCTGCTGCTTTTCCTTTCACTGCCCAGTAACAGGCTGGGGGAGAATCAATGAAAAATCAGGTCTTTTCCCCTGGCAGACAAGGCTG